GCCATACGGAGAAGTTTTTGTTGTTGCTGTCGCTATTGTAGGTAGTTATTAACACGAAACGTCACCCCAAGTAATTGTTCCCCCCTTAAATTGGTTTTAATTCGTTTTCTTCGACACAAGAATCATCAATATGACCTTCTGGAGCTTTTATTTTGGCACTTCCGGTTTCCGACCGTGAATTTGCATATTAGCTAAATATTTAGTTTCGCCCAACACATTTAGATTTAACATTTAGATTTAACATTTAGATTTATATTTAACATTTAGATTTAGATTTAACATTTAGATTTAACATATATATTTAAGATTTATATTTAGCATTTAGATTTAACATTTAACATTTAGTTTTAGTATTTAAATGTTGTTGTAATTGTGCAAAAAAATGACTGCCGAAAATTCACATCACTTTTTTAAATGCTGTTTGAAGCTAAATGTGACCAAATCTTGCTGTTGTTTTTATAATGGGCTGCTTTACAAACGGCACCCCATAATTTGAAGCTTGGTTTATGTTTGTAAAAATATTCTTAGTTAAGTATCGCACGATTTTCCAGCGTTACAAGGACCAGACTTTGTTGAAGGTCAGACAGAGGTGAATATTTGGGATCCTCGTTGAGTTAACCCTGGAAAGTGTTTTGTTGTTGTTGAGAAAACAGACTGATCCTCCAGTTACCTCCACCTGCTGCTGCTACGCCCTGACTCTCTGACCTGCTCCTGATCTCATAATCATGAGGAGTAAAACCAGTGTGGTTTGAGCTCACTGGTTTAACTGGTCCAGTGACATACATCCAGTCAACAGCACCAGCAGCGTTGTTTAGACAGATTTGAGAGTTTTCCTGAATCACAGAAACGCCTCCGACCATCAGGGTGAAAAAAGTCTTTTCCACAGTAGCATCAGACAGAGATCCCGGTCTGCAGATTAAAGAAAATCTCCCCAATAAAAGTTTTTTAAAATGAGGGTTTGTGTGAAAAGACTTCAGTATCTCCTCAGTGGGACGCTCATGTTTGATTCAAGTAGAAGGAGGAACTGAAACCACAAACACTCTTCAAACATGTTTAATATGTCAACAGGTTCAATTAAAGCAAAGTGAGAGTCAACACCTGCTTCACCTTCAGTCTTTGTGACTTGTTTGACTTCTCTGATCTGTGATTGGTTCCATGTTGTATTTTTGTTCCTGTCTTTGGCTGTGATGCTTGTTGCTGTTAAACTCCCTGTTGTTGTCTAGCAGAGCCACCTAGAGGACATTAGCAGCACTGCAGCTGAACAGAAGAATCAGAATGTCTTTTATTCTCATTACACAGGAGTAAAAAAAAAGGAGGAGAAAGAAACAGAAACAGAATTAAAAGGTAAAATAAAAATAGGTACAAAATACATACAAGTTAAAAATTCTCTGTGGGAGGTGCAAACAATATGAAGGTAAATACATACTAAGAATAATATATATGTTTATATATAAATGTATTGTTAAGTTTATGGACATGTATTGCACAATGGTTGATATCTACAGATGATAATGCTGCAGCAGTTGTAAATATATTTCACCGTGTTTGAAAAAGGGAAACTTTCTCTGATTACATGATATTAGGAAATTAATATATTTACACACCAAACAGAAAATGTAGATTTAAAAGGAAAACCTGAAAAGTTTCATCCAAAATCAGCGTCCAATAACTTGAATGAACTCGTAACCTTTAATTCGTGTCTCCTGCCAAAATTTGGCTCATTTGTTTGTTTTTCTTATTAAGACAAATAATAAGTCTGATTGTCTTATTTGTCTTATTGAAATATTGTCCCACAGACACAATTTACACATTTTTACATTAATTGTAATTGATTTTATGTCCATCGCAGATACATATATGTGCATAAATCCATAAATAAAAGAGCAGCCGGTCAAGCGCAGAACCTGCCTGAGAAACACCAAACTTTAGAAATTAGCCTCCGATAAAACAGATCCATTAATAATTGTCTTTGCATCTTTAGTTTGACTTAAAAAAGGAGTAACTTCTGATCAATTCGGGACACTTTACTTTTTCAGTTATTGAGATTAAACCAGGTTGCTTTGAAAATGAAGGTCTTTATTCCTGTTATTGTGTCCTTTAGGCCTAAAATCCGAGTGTCAAAATTATGAGTGTGAATATTTCACACGTAAAATGAGCTTATTTTTCTATAAGTAATAACTCTGACTAATGCTTCTCATAATAATGTGGGAATACTTTACGTTTGATTCCTCACATAGAATAAAAGCTGGAGGAGAAAGAGTTTATGTAAAGATGCGGTCGAGACACAAACACGAGGAAAACGAGCGCAGAATGAAGTCTTTAATTATGTGTTGAAAAACAAAAAGTGCTCAGTCATAAAGGACAGGATCATGGATTCATTCATTCATTCGGCTGTAGCACCAGTGAAAACAGAGTGAAATAAATCAGCATGGCTCTGATCTCTGCAGGGACAGTGAAGGATTCCTGAGGTCAGTTTACCGTGAGATTCACCGGCTCTCTCACACGGATCGCTTAAACGTCACATTTGGTCACAATTTTAAAAAAACAACTTTAAAATACATTTATATATTCATATATACTTTTATAAATGTCAAAAACACTAAAAAAATAAAACAAAATAAAACACAAAATAAAACAAACTCAAAGGAGTTTGGTCTTTTAAAGCATTTCCACAAATAAATATCTATAATTTAACGAGGCGGTACTCGGCTCTCTTTAGGACTCTGAATGTTGTCATGATTTGACTGATTATATTTTAAAGAAGTTACTCTCATGAAGAACATGTGAGCGTTACATTCATAATGCCCTTATAAGGAAATGTACCTGTTGGCGATGTCTTAATTGCGCCCCCTTCTGTCCCTGTTACGAACAGCCTGCAGTCTCCTCCTCCTCCTCCTCCTCCTCCTCCTCCTCCTCAGCCCAGGTTTAGCTCAGATATCCAACATGACAACTTGAGAGAAAAGCTTCATACCACCTCTTTATTTAGATTTATGTCACATGTGAGCCCACATCGGTCCACACTGTCCTCATTTAGAGTGAACACAAACACATGACAAATATTGATCAATTATCTGTGACCAGTTAGAGGATCGGCTCTGTCAGGTTTAAACTAAAAGAAAACGCTTCTCGATTCATAAAAAAGGAAAGATTGACAGTTCATCCCTCGCTGAAGCTCCGCTCTGTGTTTTTGTGTTTTATTTTTGTGTGTCATAGAGATTATCCTTTTAGTGTCTTTGTTGTGAGACACATTGTTATTTAATTTTAAAGTGCAATACAAACATCAGTTATTATCACTGACGTCCTCTGAGAACCTCCTTCTAACATTCACTCCTTCACATCTAAAATGATTTTACTTTGTTTACACTTAAGAGCTTTTAACCTCGCTTTACATATCGCACATTGTTCTGTTTTTGTTTTTTTTATCACACTGAATTTTATGTTTTTTTTCTTCCTTTGTATACTTATTTAAAAAAAGCTTAAACGTCCGGTTCATATTAAAACTTACAGCATTAAATAAAAGGTTATCATCTCTGTACAGACTGGCTTTGAGCTACATGCTAATGCTAGCTTAAATGTGCTTAAATTAAAAGTTTACAATCTTCAACGTGTTTCACAGACGGATAACCCTGACGTATTCCCATAATGTGTTCAATACTGGATTCTGATTGGTCAAGCAGGAGACGTCAGGTTTTCGACAGACAGTCGATCAGGTAAAAAAAAACACTGTTCTTATTTTTGGGCTCGTATTTAAACTCCAGACTGAGCAGCAAAATGAAAAAGAAACTGTGAGACCTTTTAAGGAAAACGAGAAGACGACGACTCGGTGTACTTGGGTACCAAACAGGTGCAGCCCACAGAGACCGACATCATCTCCCGGATCAGCCTGTATTTGTTGGGGTCCCCTTCACATTGAGTCTTCTTGTAGACGAGCAGCCGGCCCACGAGGGGAACTGAGACGTAGCTCTCATCCTCTCTCCCGTTCACGATGCAGCCCTTACAGAGACACTCTGCTACCGAAATGTCCTGAGGGATCCGGTCCTGGTCCCGGTCCAGCCTGAAGCAGACGATCACAGAGAGCAGCAGAGTCATCAAACGGAAGGGTTTCAAGAGCAAACTGAATATTTAACAATATAATAATAATAATAATAATAATAATAATAATAATAATATAATAATAATAATAATAATAATAATAATATAATATAATAATAATAATAATAATAATAATAATATAATATAATAATAATAATAATATAATATAATAATAATAATATAATATAATAATAATAATAATAATAATAATAATAATAATAATAATAATAATATAATATAATAATAATAATAATATAATATAATAATAATAATATAATATAATAATAATAATAATAATAATAATAATAATAATAATAATAATAATAATAATAATATAATATAAGTACAGTCATTCTAACAGCGAGCATCTCCTCAACTCTTTTTTATCCTGACAAAGATTTATTTCAGGGACGACCTTCAGATGATCCCAAACCACGTTCAGACGGGTGAATTTAGGTTCCTCAGCTGTTCTTTATAGTATTAGACGTCCTTAATAACAAACTAAAGTTTACCAAAGTTTGACCACTAGAAAGGCGTCATTTTCAAGATGGCGTCCATGATGGTAGGAAGCCCGGGGAGACCCCCCTGGGTAAACAGGGTAAAATGTTTAACTAACAGATATCAGCGTGAAACTTCCAGAGTTAATAACTTTAAGACAAATATTTTTTATATTTCAGGTTTAGTCAAATGTTCTGTTTGAATATGTAAATGAGGTCATATCTAATTAAATATATACTAATTTACAGACATTTACAGAAAACTGAACAATAGATAAAGACCCTTTAAAATTCTTGTTTTATTTTGTTGACAGACTAGAGTCAGAGGGAGGAGGAGGAGGAGGGGACTTTGGATATCTCTGTAAATGAGAAAATACTCTCACCACCCCGAAAAACTCAAATATCTTCATATGACTCTGACCGTGGGACACTAGTTGTTCTTGTAATCACTCATCTATCATAGAAATATGTTAATTAGAATATCACATGGTCTGAACATGTATCAGGCGCCAGTGTTCCTGGTCTACAGAGGAGTAATGGTCGTTTTAAGGACCTGAAATAAACACACATGGAGATATTTGAATTACTGTATGTTAATAGTTTCTGTTGTGTGTTTGTTCCAATCTCAGTATTTCTTCTCCTGATAGAGAAGACTTGGGATGGGACTCCAGAACCAGTTCTTGTTTAGAACTCTACAGTAAACTGTCAAGGTAGAGAACGTAATATTTTCAGGACAGTAAATATTCTGAATCAGAGGACTGTTGTTTTCGGCTTATCTGAAGAGTCTGAATGAAATCATTAAAGGAACACGCTTTAGAATCCGCCCAACAGAGAGGAAAAGCATTGAAGGTACGTATGTTAGTGTGACCATACGTCCTCTTTTACCCGGACATGTCCTCTTTTGGGGGGCTGTCCGGGGGAGTTTATAAAATCCTTCAAATGTCCTGAACGTGTTTTCATTGATGATAAAACAGAGCAGAGGATCAGTCCTCTCTGCAGCTCCGCCCCTTCGCTCACTTCTAAGTAAAGCCACTGACGTGACGCAGCATGTGCAGAATAATGTGTTTAACTGAGTTAGGAGTGCATAAAAAACACATGACCTTTCCAGAAAAACAGACAAAAACAAACTGAAATTTCTCGCACAAGTCTGCATAGTCGTGTCCTCTTTCTGGGGATTGAGAACATGGTCACCCTAACATATGTCCTGTGTTAACATGAACATAAAACATGTCAGAAACGCTGAACAAATGATTATTTTAGACTCTCACTGAAGGTGGCACACATCTGTTTCTGTGTTTCTGTTATCAGAGACTCAATAACATTTAGATTTAACAGTGAAAACCTTTAGTCTACCTTTAATTTTTTAATTCAAAGGCATTGATGAGGGAATCATTAAAGAATTGAATCAATAAACAGAATTGATAAAGGCATCGATATCGATAAAATCTTATCAGTTCCCCTCCTGATATCCAAGACTTGATGGAATGATGTTCAGGTGAGAAAAGGCGTGGTCACTGTAGATTTATGTGGTTTTTTAACAAAGTTCTGTTGGTGTTAATGTCCGTTTTTTTGTTCTTTGGATGACTTTGATGGTTCTGAATCTCCTGTCATATTTATTTGACATCATAAACTGAATCTGAGGCTGTCCTGAAACAAAGGTGAGTTTATATCTGCTGTGATTTAAAGGATCGAGGTGAAACATAAAAGTCAAAACAGGCGGACCAGAAAAAGGAAAATAGAGCTGAGAGTTCAAGGGTTAACGCTGTCCTGAGCAGTCTGACCCCGGTCTCCCCTACTTTCCCTGTCCTGGTTTTAGTCCCTGCTCGCTCTCTCAGTCTTTTTGTCCCTTTCTGCCCCCCATACCTGTGTGCAGGTGCACCACGTACCTGTACCTCCAGGGTGAGAGCGCGCGGACGTTGACGTCGTTTTTCATCTGCCTCGCTGTCTCTGCGCATGTCCAAGACGGCTGGTTCTTACGGATGCTCAGCTCGCGCTCGAACATCCTGGTCAGAGCCTCAGAGCGGTTCTGGACCGAGTCCGGACAGGAACATTTGGACCCTCCGCACCCAGCAGAGGTGTTGTGGATCAGCAGGAGGCCGATGGAGATCTGTGGAGGTTTCAGAGAGGTTAAAAAGCTGCAGGATCAGGAGAACACAGGTCCGAGAAAAACACCCAGACTTACGATCTGTAGACCGGACCACGTCATTCCGAACCTGAGCAGGTGAGAGTGAGTCCAGCTCCATTAGACCGGGTTTTTATAAGTTAACTAAAGACCCGGACACTCTGCAAAACCCTCCACAGGAGTGTTTCCTGCCTCTGAATCATCCCCACAGAAAGAGCAGACCTTGACTCCGCCCCTCCCTCCCTCCCTCCGGACTGGGCGGGTGTCTGATTCGAGCGTCTCTCTGGCTGAAATGTTTCAGATTCCTGTTTTCTGTGGTCATGAAATAAACGTCCTCTGACCTCAGCAGAGACATGAGAGGAAGAATAATGATGGATGTTTGTAAACAAAGACACACCTGGAGACCCCTGACAGGTGAGAGCGCGCTCTAGCTCAACTACATCTATGAAACACTTCAGTACAGCTGACCCAACAACATCCAGACATTAAACAGCAGTAAAGAGCGACGGACCACCTGCTCACACATTCAGGTTAGGAGGGATTATCCAGGTCGGCCTGCTCATGCAGCCTCAGGACCCTGAGCTTGTAAGTAAGGTGGTCCTGCAGGGACCAGAACTATCTGTCTGTCGGAACATTACGGCCCAATCCCAAACCGCCCCCTAAACACTCGCCCTCCGTTTGCGCGGCCCAGCGGACGCTCCGCCATATTGAAGACTGTCCCAAACCACAGAGCGAGGAGGGCGGGTTCAGGCCTTCAACAGCGAGCCTGAACCCGCCCTCTAAAGGTCCCTCTGGATGACCTTACAGCAGACACGACAAACTCGGAGTGACGTCATTTTAACAGATTTGGAGAACAGAGCAGAAGTGAATATTTGAGTCTGAGGACTCATGACATTTCAGACGGTCTTCATCAGAACCTCCTTTCTTCTTCTTCTTCTTCTTCTTCTTCTGAGGGGGAAAAACCTTGAAAACCAGACGACCCATCAGTGACATCATGACATGGTCTCCTCCCCCCTCACTCCCTGCTCCTCCCCCGGGGTTTTAAGTCTCTGCTGGCTGTATTTAGCAGCACAAAGCTGACTCACCCTCTGATCTGGAGTTTGATTTTCTCTTCCTGGAGTTGTCAGGAGTTCAGACCCTCACGTCGGTCAGACTCAGACTAACAGGTGAGCGAGTCTGACTCGTTGGTCCAGTGTGTGTTACAGACTTTGTTCCTTCTCCTTTGTATTAAAGGTTTCGTTTCGTTAGATCTCCGTTAGCTTCGGCTGAGGCCACCGCTCTTCTTCCTGGAGTCTACATGTACAATTATCTCTCCATCTCAACATTAACACCACAAACACAACGACAACGTCAACAACCACAACATCTCACAACATCTCACAACAGCCTACGAGACAAAAACAACACAAACAACAGACGAGTGGACCTGACACATCTCCACACGCAGCTAAAGCTCGGAGATAATCCGATGTTCAAATATTAAAATACGTTTTAAAGAACTGAATTAATCCACAGTACTGAAGCAGACCTCAGGTTCTTCTTGTTCCTCCTCCTGTTTGTCGAAGTCCTACAGACCACAGATCTGGAACAGCAGTAAACGGGTTTTCTCCTCATCTGTCTGGGAGAACTTTTTCAGTCCATGACCCTGTCTCCTGGAGTCCCTCAGGGTTCGGTCCTGGACCCTGTGTTGTCTTCTTTATACCTGGTATGGTAGGTGTCTCTCATCTGTCTCTAAACTGTCCTTGGAGAGCAGACCCTCACGCTCACAAACAGAGACTCTTACTTCAGCACCTGAGCAGGTTCTCTAACGTGTCCTGATCTCAGGAGTCCAGATGATCCAGGTCCTGAGTCTGGATCAGCATGTTCATGGTTTGATTTGTCTAACTAGAAGGTCCAAACCCGGGCCCACAGTGTCCAGAACTGAGCTGGAGATGATTGTTCATGCTTCTGTCTGCATGTGGTCCAAAATGGACAAAACCACGGAGACGGTGGAGACATGTAGAGGAGGACCATGTTCAGAGCGCCCTGTCAGTGGACTCAGAGACGGGTTGAGGAGCTGGGTTTGGTCCTGGTCCTGTGCTCACAGCTGCTCCTCACATGGTGGTCTTGGTAGACCAGCTCACCTGGGGGTGGTCCTCTGGTAAACGGGTTTATTGAGTCAGAGGGGGATCTAGAGCGTTTATTTCTATATTTTCCCCTCTGTTGATGGTTTGAACCCCTCAGTGTCAGAGGGAATCCCCACGCTTCAGTAACTCTGATCAGAGTCGACACACCCGTAAGGTGATGCAGGGTGGCAGCAGGCTCCGCCCCCTCACTATAAAACCTCGTGTCCTGAATATAGAGTGAGCTCACTCTCCTCCAGCAGCAGCTTCACACCAGGAGCAACAACGGTGACTCAGACCAGCCCTCTCCTATCAGCGCAGTGCTGGGCCCAAGGTTGGAGCCTCAGGATGTAAACAGCGCCGTTGCCGTGGTAACCGTGGTAACCGTTCTTACCCCAAACATCCAGAAAAAATGGCATTGACCTTTCTTTGTAGAAAGGTCTTCCTTGAAGGTTTCCTGGGGTGTTTCCTCTTTTTGTTGCACAGAAATGTCACAGACTGGTTTTACGTTTCGGACTCATTAGTCACTGAATTCCTTTTTGAGTCAGCTGTTGTGATGTGACAGAAAAAAAGAGAATAGAGTGAGATCATCTTCAGGTATCCATCCAGGCTGATGGATCTACAAAAACAGCAAAGAAACTCTGACTTACACCTTTGAGTTCCTGAAGTACATGTCCATTAAAAAGGTGAAACTTTTAAACACATTTTCATGATTAAAAACATCTCTGGGATTCTGGACCCCTGCCTCCCTCCCAAAGCTCAGCTCCAGGAGTCCTCCTGGTGGGGGGTCGTGGACATGGGATCCTGGTCCGATCCTGACCGCCTGTTTTGAACTCTTTCATTTGGAGGAAAACTCTGCCTGAGTGTCTGGAGAATAAAAACAGAGATCTCTGAATGTCCATGGAGAGGACGAGACCTGAGACGGCGCCCTGAGGAGGGCCTGTGGACAAAGAGTGAGAAAAGTCCCAGGGGTGGATCGATTCATCTGCAACATCCATGTGTTGATTTATATTCCTACGATCCAACTACACTGATCTGTGCTCAGCAAGTGGGCCTTCCAGACCACATACATCGATCGAACATCGTTTTAAAATGTCATAAATCGATTGTAGTGATTTAAACACGGCAGACTGTATTTGGATAATAATAATAACAGATAACAATAAAGACGTTCAGCATGACTCAGTTCAGTCAACCTGTCTGTGACGTCATCGTCATGGCGAACGGCGGAGGAGAAGTCAGGCCGCCATTGTGGTCCAGTCTATGTCGTATTTGTGTTTTTTCTATGCTGAAAAAAAACAACAAACCTCCTGACAGTTTACCTGAAGGGTGGGGGTCACACTATTATTAATACTGTATTTATTATTTTTGTATTAATGATAAATTTATTATTTCTGATATAAATACTGTTTTCATTATTTATCATTGATAATGTATTGATAAATTTAATAGTCTATTATTTCTGATATAAATACTGTTTTATTTTGGATTGTGTTTTTCTAAATGAACCGATAGCGTCCTTGAATCAAATGGATTGGTGGTTAAAATGGATCGATCCCCTCCTGATGGAGAACACGTGTGAAGCTGACCTCTGGGTCACAGTTGGCGTCTCTGTGTGTTTTTCCTTTTGCTGCGTCACGTTGACCCTCTGATCTGTTCAGGTTTTAGTTTTTGAAATGTCAGATTTGAGTCACTGAAGCAACTTCCTAGAGTTTCATCACATAACAACGAAACATTAGATCCTCTGAGTGAGCGCTCTGAGGGTCACATTAAGGCTGTCCTCCCTTCTGATGACGACACCCCCCCACCCCTCCTGACTCCGCCCCGTCTGCCATGATGGCGTTGCACTAAAGTGATGATGAAATACTGAGCGGCTGTCCAGAGGCCTAAACTGACTCACCCGACCTGACTCACTGTGAGCTGAGGCCAAAACAGGCCGCTGTAATTACAGCCTCCGGCCACAGGGCGGTGCTAAAGGGAGGGAAACGTCACTATAATAACATGACATGGTCGTGTTTGATTCGTGTGTATCTGGGCAGGTATCTAATCACTGCTCGGGCTTGTCGAACCGCAGCTGTGGAGCTCTCAGCCTTTTGACTGTCACCGAAGGACCAATGAAAAGTGAGGGGGGCGTGGTTAAGCACCAATCAGCGCCAAACAGGTGGGAAACCCGTGGAAGACAAAGGAGCCCACTTTCCCACTTTCCTGTGGGAAACTGTGGATGTTTTAAAGTTGGAAAAATCTCTGCAGGACAGGGTGGTTTTAGTATTTATGACTCAGATTTCTTCCTCCATGACGTTCAGGAGAACTTCATCCTATAATCACGATTTATCTAATCTGGGTTTATTATTGGAGGCAGTTTCTCTTGTTTTTAACACTGTAAATAAACGTGTTGGTTGCTAAGACTGCTGACGATATCTGTCGTGTGTGTGTGTGTGTGTGTGTGTGTGTGTGTGTGTGTGTGTGTGTGTGTGTGTGTGTGTGTCATCATGGGGAGAACCTCTATTGTGACTCAGAGCAGCTGGGAGGGTCAGGGTTGTTTTTGGCCCTGAGTGTGTGTGAATTTATCGACTCTGTGACTCAGACTGAAAACAGGAACCACGTTTGCAGACGTAGAAAAACACTCTTCTGTTTTGACATGTGAGATTTGAATGACTAAAAATAGCTGTTCCTCTCAGGCTCCTCTTCTTCTTCCTCTTTAATTCACACAGAAACAACATGGCTGCCAGCATTAAAGGGCTATTCCGACTTTTGAGAAAGTCTGTTGGCATGAGGGAACACGTGTGTTTGTAATTTTAATGGACGCAGCGCTCATGTCGTCTTACGCCTGCTGAACATGAATCAGCTCCAAAGATACTAAAGTTACATCAACTGGTGAGTTTGTCAGTCTGACACACAGACAAAACAAACAGTCCAAAAATAAACCAGCTGAAAAGTCTCTCAATAGAGCGAAGACTCAAACCAGAGTTTGGCGAAGTCTCTCTGAAGAAGTTCAACCATAACCTTATCTGCAGAATCGGTTGCCTAGCTTACGTGCAGTTTTTCCTGACCCCCGACCTCCACCTTCATCCTGATCGTCTCCTCAAAGGTCGTATCCTCCGATCGTAGCTGATCGTAACCATTCAAGTTAACGTGTCAATTTACACCGACTTCTTTCCGTTCCTCTGCGGATCGCCGGACTCCTCAGCTGATCACAAGAGTTCTATTTTTTCTGGACGCCGGAGCATGGCGGATAAATTCAGCACAGATTAACCCGTGCTGGAAAGGAAGTCGGGCACAGACACAAAATAAAACATCCGGCTTCTTTTCAAAATAAAACACTCCGTGTTTCAGGAGGATCGTATTTCACACCATGCAAACGGGCGGAGACGAACAAGTGAAAGGTTTTTAGACGTCATTTCACCCCGATGACACCATGGATGAGGAGATGCTGATTCTAGAAGTCTAGAAGTAGATTTCCTCCTCTGGAAGGACACAATCTACTGCTTATATATCTATGTGTCTGTCTTTAGAGAGACGACTCGTTATCACAGGATTGAACGTGAATCTGTGGGTTCTTGTGAGTTCTCGCGATTCCCGCTGTTGGTAATCCGCCACGAAATTCGCCTCACAAACGGATCCCATAGGAACTGGCGGACAGTGAGAATCGCCGCCGTTCCGGATGTGGTGAAAATTGGGATAACAGTTTCTTATTAAAGGGACGGAGCTGACCGAGCTCCACTGTAACTCACGCTGTGTTCCAGTTTCCTCGGGAGTCGTCTGGCGGAGTTGGGAATGACGTTTCACCCGAGTTGACGGCGTTCCAGTAAACAAGTCGGAAGACCAAGATGGACGCCTACTGTCTGCTGTCTGCTGTTGTCAGCTGTTGTTAGCGTTACCAGTTGTAAACAAACACAGTATTCGACTCTATAAACACCAGCGCAGCGTGTTCACAGTGAGAGGTTGAGCAGTAAAACATGAACCTTTAATTTAATTTCACAAAAACAAACAGAAGTGCTGATGAATAAAACATGATGAGAGTTTTTACTGTTACTCTTCACTGTTGATGCGCTGCGCCGCCATCTTGGATTATGATGTTGGCATCAAGTTGGGATTGATGAGGATCGTCCGACTGAGTCAGAAATCCGACTTCAGGGGGCGTTCCAGATGAATTTCCATCTTGGAGCCTGAAAATCCCGACTTCCAAGTACAACTTGAACGCAGCGTTAAACACTTACTGATGACATAATACTTATAATACGACCCCTTTAATCTATAATCTGAGTTTAAGAACTCAGATTAAGACACCCAGATAATGAGATTGGAATTAGATTTCCTCGATCATGTAACCAGCGTAGTCGGAGTATGACGCCACGCCCCTGTAACCCCGTAACAAACCCCCAGAGTAGAGGAGTAGCGTCGGTCTCCTCTTTAGAAAAAGTAGCGCGTCCATCATGTCGGACAAAAACAACGCTGTACGATGCTCCATCTTCTTGTTTCTCCAAAATGTCCCAGCAGCAGTTGGAGACACTTCTGACGTCTGACACCGACCTGCTGTTGTTGTTGACGGTTGGATGGGGTCGGAAACAGCGCCGCTGAAAAGACACATATCGCCCCCTAGTGTTGGGGAGGAGGACACGTTCACGTCAATAATTTCAGTTTTCTCAGCTGCATGTAAACGAGGACGAGGAGAGAAGTCTGATTCAGAGAGAAAGACGAGTTATGAGGTTAGTCTGATTAATCCAGGGGTGGACAGTCATCAGGCTGCAGGTTTTCTTTCCAACCCAAAACTCCACCAGGTGAGTTCACCGATGAGTCTCTGCTCTCTCTTGGAGGTCATCAGTGAAATCACCTGGTGGAGTTTGGGGTTGGAAAGACACCTGCAGCCTCTCGGCCCTCCATGACACATGACTGTCCACCTCTGGATTAAACTGTGACTGTAAACATGTCGAGTGTCCGACATCTCGGGGGTGAAAGTGTAAAAAAATACCGCTGTAGTCCAGCAGGTGGAGCTTGAGGGCCATTTTCATGTCATAAGGAACCCGGACAAAACAACATAAACTGAGACCATGAGGAAATAAAAACATCAAACAGGTAAGAAAAAGAAAATGTAAATAAAAGGAGGTCGAAAGCAGAAACAGGAGAGTCAATATCAAAGAGAATATCAACAATGATGATAAAATAATAACAGGAAATACTTTTAATAACAGTTATGATAAAATAGAGGAACAGAAATGAGCGAGAGATGAAAGAATAAAAGGTCTAAAAGGTTAAAAAGAAAAGAGTTTAACAAAAGATAAAAAGACAAAAAAGTAGAAATAAGATGAAAGCGGTCAAAGATAAAAGAGACTCTTCAACAGTGTTTGTGTGATCCGGATCGGACCACCTGCTGTGTCTGTGTTATTCTCTTTGATTCCTCGCCGTGGTCGACCCTCGGTTTGTGAGAAACGCCGTGGCGGCTGTGAGGCTGGCACAGTCGTCACTCTGAATGTGAGCTAATGATGTCGGAGGGAAATAATGAGATCCTGTAACACGACAGGATCAGACTCTCCGCCGTGAACTCGGGGTAAATTTGTCTTAATCCCTCCGGCGTGTCTCTCAGGCCGCTGCACGTCTGGATTAGCAGCTGCGTCTGCGGGGCGCTCGGAAAAACAAAAGTGTCACAACTCAGGAGCATGAAGTGGAAACAGGCAGGAAGGACACACACACACACACACACACACACACACACACACACACACACACACACACAGCCACAGGGGGAAAACGGTGTGTCTGCACGTCATCTGTGAGGCCCGGGAACACCTGCTGGTACCTTCTGCAGGTCAGAACCGGACACAACTGGGTCAAAGGCAGAAAATCTGAAGGCTCTGGATGTGGTGGGGCGGTCCTGGTTGACACGCCGGACCGGGGTGGTGGTCCCTATCTTTAAGAAGGGGGACCAGAGGGTGTGTTCCAACCACAGGGGGGTCACACTCCTCGGCCTCCTGGGAAACGTCAGGGTGCTGGAAAAGAGGGTCCGATCGATAGTTGAACCTCAGATCGAAGAGGAACGATGTGGTTTTCATCCCGGTCACAGAACCACGGATCAGCTGTTCTTCCTCGCTCGGGTTCTTGAGGGGAGATGGGAGTTTGCCCAACCAGTCCACATGTGTTTTGTGGACTTGGAGAAGGCCTAGACCGTGTGCCTCGGGGAATCCTGAGGGGGGTGATCCGGGAGTACAGGGTGGAGGGTTCCTTACTAAGGAACGTCCAGTCCCTTTACCAAAGGAGCACGAGCTCGGTCCGTGAACTCAGCTGTGAGTGAGATCCATTTCCAGTGAGAGTTGGACTCCTCCAGGGCTGCCCTTTGTCTCCGGTTCTGTTCAGAACCTTTATGGACAGAATCTCTAGGTGCAGCCGGGGGTGGAGGGTGTCCAGTTCGGCAGGCAGAGGATCGCGTCGCTGTTTTTTACGGATGATGTGGTTCTTCTAGCTTCGTCGAGCAGTGACCTTCAGCTCTTGCTGGGGCGGTTCACGGCCGAGTGTGAAGCGGCTGGGATGTGAATCAGAACCTCCAAGTCCGAGGTCATGGTCCTCAGTCGGAAAAAGGTAGATCACCTTCTCCAGGTCGGAGGGGCGGTCCTGTCTCAGGTGGAGGAGTTCAAGTATCTCAGGATCTTGTTCAGGAGTGAGGGTAGGATGGAGCAGGAGATCGACAGGCGGATCGGAGCGGCGTCAGCAGTGATGCGGACGCTTAACCGATCAGTCGTGATGAAGAAAGAGCTGAGCCGTAAGGAGAGACTCTGGATTTACCGGTCGATCTACGTGCCGATCCTCACCTATGGTCATGAACTTTGGGTAATGACCGAAAGAACAAGATCGCAGATACAAGCGGCTGAAATGGGTTTCCTCCTCAGGGTGTCCGGGCTCAGCCTTAGAGATAGGGTAAGGAGCTCGGACACTCGGGAGGCGCTCAGAGGAGAACCGCTGCTCCTCCACGTGGAGAGGAGTCAGCTGAGGTGGCTCGGACATCTGGTTAGGACGCCTTCTGGACGCCTCCTGTTAGAGGTGTTCCAGACATGTCCCACCGGGAGGAGAGCTCGTGGCCGGACCAGGACCAGGTGGAGGGATTATATCTCTGGCCTGGCCTGGGAGCGCCTGGGAATCCCCCCGGAGGAGGAGCTGGTGGGAGTGTCCGGGGTGAGCGCCGTCTGGGCTTCCCTCCTGAAGCTGCTGCCCCCGTGACCCGGACCAGGATGAAGCGGAAGAAACGGCAGAAAACATCTACAAAGACCACAGAGTAGACCTGGGCCACCGATCAGGTTTTAGTCTCCATTACAATGTTGGCTCCCCAAAATGAGTCTTGGATGATGCAGTTGGGGCTGAGTCCACTTCACAGACCCCAGGTTGAAGACCCAGGTCCTGCAGGTCCCTGGAATCAGCTTAAATAAACATTCAGGTCAAGAGGTTCCTGATACAGGACAAAACCAGAGGAGGTACTGACTCTAGAGCATGTTTATTCAAGGGTTTAAGATTACACTAACCTCATGACCATATAAGGAAGAGAGGGCGGGGCTTGGGCGGAGGAGGAGGGGTTCTGTTGTTTCATCTTTGTTCACTGGAACAGCTAAGAGAGCTGGAAACGAAGTAAACTACACGAGAACAGACCAGCTGACTTCTGAGAGCGGGTTTTAGGTCGCCATGGTATCGGCCTGCCAATCCCAGGTAGCTCCGCCCTAACTCCGCCCCTGTTTGATAGTCCCTAACATGCCAAATGGGAGTCTTACTGTGTTGAGGAAGACGGTCAACCAGGGATCAGGTCCGTAAACTCACGGGGAAGACTTTGGTTCTGACCCGAGTTCTTCACACTGAACAGAGTCGGTGAAGAACTCGGGTCAGAACTGCCTTTCTCCAGACTGTCTACACACACAGAAACCTGACAGCAGAGCATCTCAAACATCCACCTGCAGACAGGTAACCTGAGCCACTCTCACCTGTGCGGCTCGGCCAGGTGACGGAAAGTGTCCAGGTAACATTCCTGTCACATTCCAGTCCGCTGAGCGCCGCCGTGCCGGAGGGCGTGAGGGATCGAGGGGGGGAGGGCGGGCTGAGAACTCCACAGGTGGGTCCAAGTACACACCTGTGTCTTTCTGTACAGGTGACAAAGTCCAACGACTGTTTCTGCTATTGTTATAATGAGCAGTTCTATAATGAACACTTCTATTATTAACATTTCTATAATGAACATGAAGACTTCTATACTGAACACGTCTATAATCTCTGAGGGTTCAGGAGGCAGAAACTCCTCCCACAGACCTGTGTGTACACCTGTCTCACCTTTACCTGTCAGCTAATAAAAACAACATGATCAAATCAGAATAAAGATCGATTATACATTATCTTCTCCGGACTCTGACTCCTCATCGGCAGTAAAATGAGCCGATTAAAACCATGGGAACAATATCAACAAGAGGTGGCAGATGGTGTTGCTATGGAAACCCTTATCACCCTTTGACATGACAGAGAAACTGATTCTCTCCACAGACAGACTGACGAACAGTTCATCATCCTTCGACCTGAACCTGTTAAATCTTTGAAGGTCAGCCCGTCTGCAGGGAAACTGGTGACAGGAGGAGACTGGAAAACTCGGTGACACGGCTGAGCAGCTCGAGATTTCCTGAACCGACACCTTTCTTCACGTCTCTCCTAACGAGGTGAAATTAAGTCGGATTAAAGAGTCGATTAAAGCACATGACCCCGAGGATAATCCGCTGAAAGGGACCCAAACATTCTTTTCCAGACCAAATGAAACCAATCTGATTCACCTGCACCACTGCTCTCTGACACACACACACACACACACACACACACACACACACACACACACACACACACTCCTCCCTCTTGAAACTTTGAACCAAACCGGTCTTACAGTGTGACAGACAGCAGACGTTTTTTTCGCCTCCTCAGTCGCGGCTCTGAGACTCTTTTCTTCCATCTGATATCATATCTGACCGACCATGGTTCTTCTCACGCACACTCGGACTCAGAGTCTATAAGAACCACCAGGACCAGGTCCGGGCTGCAGACGGATCCAGCAGCAGCAGGCAGCTCAGCATGGGTAAGACTCCATCCACTCCTGACTTCTCTCCCCGTCTCTTGTTTTCCTGCCTCTACCTCTCTGACTCACAAACCCGAGTCCGTTCAGACTCTGGTTTCCTGAAATGAGGTTTTTATGGGGGTCAAAAGTCCAGGTTCAGGTTCAGTCTTTATTTCCTAAAGTGTTGAATGATAGACCGATGGTGCGCTGTAAAAACACCGGGAGATTAAACCTTTTTAAAAACTCTCTGAACTGTAAAACTTGATAAAAGTTTTACTTTAATCTGAACTCTTTTACACAGATCTAAAAAGATTAAAAGCTCATTATAACCTGTAACCATCTGAGTGTCTGAAACCAAAGAGACTTTAGATCTGAGTCTGAGTTTTAACTAAACCTGAAAAACTGCCTCAGGAACTCCCTGCTGAACCACCTCCAGACCAGGTCCTCCAGACCAGGTCCTCCAGACCTCTAACACCATCAGGGCTCTGAATGATCGTAGGCCTCTGTCCCGTTAGATTCTGTTCAGCACACGCCGCTGTTGTCCTCCCTCTGTTTTGTGTGTTTTTGTTGTGTGTCTGCTGCTGCTGTCCTTGTTCTGTTTTTTGTTCACGATGAGACTAAAGACAAATTTACATTTGTGAACGATAAACTAACGAATGAACGAATGAACAAGGAGGTTCAAGGAGATTCAGTGAAGACCGACGAGAATAAAACACAGCAGTGATTTCTCTCTGCAGTCAAATGTGGTTGTTTGGCTTCTATATCACAGCATGATGGTGTTTAATTGAATATACTGAATATAGCAGCATGTGAGTGATGTTGCTCTGTCTGGAGGTAGAGAGGTAGTGGGATAAAAACCAAATCAATAAAATACATAAATATAAAATAAAAGTACATAAATATAAAATAAAAGTATATAAATATAAAATAAAAGTATATAAATATAAAATAAAATACATAAATATAAAATAAAAGTATATAAATATAAAATAAAAGTACATAAATATAAAATAAAAGTATATAAATATAAAATAAAAGTACATAAATATAAAATAAAAGTATATAAATATAAAATAAAATACATAAATATAAAATAAAAGTATATAAATATAAAATAAAAGCACATAAATATAAAATAAAAGTATATAAATATAAAATAAAAGTATAAAAGTTTTCTTCAGATTCAGCTCTCTGTAATAATATAACTCTGTGTGCGTCTCTCATTGTGATAAATTTGTGTGTTTGTGTCTCTTTAGTTGAAGTCGTTCAGTAACAATTAAAAGCAGATTTGATTTTTGCTCGTTCATAATTTTCAGAACAGACTGACAGACAGACTGACTGACAGACTGACAGACAGACTGACTGACAGACTGACAGACAGACTGACTGACTGACTGACTGACAGACAGACTGACTGACAGACAGACAGACTGACAGACTGACTGACAGACAGACTGACTGACTGACTGACTGACAGACTGACAGACAGACAGACAGACAGACAGACAGACTGACGGACAGACAGACAGACTGACTGACTGACTGACGGACAGACTGACTGACAGACTGACGGATGTTAGATAAAACTCTGGACAGAGCCGACCCAAACCTCAATGGGGCCCTGAGCCTGTTTCTGGGGACAACAGTGTGGTCTAGTCCATCAATGGGGTCCTCTGAAGAACCAGGTCTGTCTTAGAAAGTAGAGAGGGACTCTGCAGATCCAATAAATGTGGGTCATTCAGAGTCAGGGATCTGGACCAGGGACCAGGGGCCTGACTGAGGCTGAGGGGAGGGGGTAGACCTGGATGAGGAGGTCCAGGTAAACCGGAGCAGGTTTGGTTCCTGCAGGATCCATTAAAGGGACATTTCAGTGTTTTTGTGAAGTTTGAAGGTTTCATGTCTTCATTCACCTCAGAGGACCTCGCTAAGCTCCGCCCCTTTAACCAGAGAGCGCAGAGAGAGTCGGGGCGTGAGCCGGGCTACAGCGAGAGTCCAGTCAGCCCAGTTAATTAATGTTAATGTGAATTAATTAATGAGCTCGTTAAGAAATCTGACCTGTGACACCTGGACCTGTGTGTGTGTGTGTGTGTGTGTGTGTGTGTGTGTGTGTGTGTGTGTGTGTGTGT